ATGCTTCTCTGCAACCCTTTTGAAAGGCTAAACTGAAGGTACAAACACAATTTTTCCTGGTAGTCGGTTACTTGGGTTGGTAGTTCATTGAGTCAAGTATTACTCCACAGCAGTATAGTCCATGCTTGGCTTTTGAACTTTCCCATTGTCTCATCACATTTTAACTTGATGAGGAGTAAAATAAAAGTCATCTCCGTAGTCATTTTTGAAGTTCTGAACATCATGATTAAATCTCTTATCTACAGGGAAAATATTCAGCCTTTAATTGTTACTGGTGTGTTAGTTCGATTACACCAGCAGTCATACCCTTGGCCAATCTTTAAACTCTTCCCAGTATGTATGAGCTACATTTTAGCAGTAGTTGACTACCTAGATAATGTTCTCTAATTTGGACTCATTATGTTTGTCATTAGTGGTCCTAGTAAAAGTTCTGAGTAGTGCCTGATGGGTAATTAAGTGGCTGTACCTAAGTTTTTAGGGCGTGATTTACTATGACACCTAAGTCGATTCGCGTCTAAATTAAAGGGAGAATTGTTGCCTTTGTATGATGTGCACTGACACTTGTATTTACGTTAACTTATACGTCGTGATTACGGGAATTTTTAAATCAACTTTTTTTATAAGTTAACGAGATCAAACAAGTGGCTTAAAATGGGTTGGTGTGGTACGTTTGAACCCGTGTCTCAATCTTATCATACACAGGTTTCTTTTACAACAGTTATCTTTGCGCCATATACTTTTAAACTGTCGGTACTACTACTCCTTTTACTTTCAAGTCTTAGTATGATTGGCACGCGATTCGCTCCTGTCAAATGTAAGATGATGCTACAAGACTAGACTACATTGACTCCTAGCTTAAAGATAGGCGGTGAAGTGATAGAACATGTTGACCACTTCACTTATTTGGGAAGTTGCATCAGCCAGCTCCAGTGGGTTGATCGCTGACGAAATGACAGCATGGATACAGTAGGCTCTTTTCGCATATACCAGTTTACGCCGTCTCTGGTGTAGATGTAATATCCGGCTGTTGACCAAAGGGCGTGTGTACTGCTCAGCAGTTTGTTCCGTGCTCCTTTATTACTGTCTGTGAGACATAGCCATTGAAAGTGGAAGACATGAAAAGGTCGGCTAGTTGTTTTTTGATCATAGATGTCTGCGTTATATCTCCTGTGTTAGGTGGTATACTAAGGTGAGTAATATCGAGGTTAGGTGTCACCAGTCAATGAAATCCACAACAGTCAGTCTAAGCCACGTAGGAAGGTGCAGACTTCCTGGTTGGGGTCCTCGGGACGGTAAAAACCACTGGTTGGAAACAATTGGTGACATGGCTCAAAATCGTTCTTGGTGACGGCTGGCACAGATGCATCCACTCCTTGTGACTGATAATTTCCAACTAAACTGTTTTGTTCTCCGTTATTACTATTCCTTTGTCTCACACCTCTGTTTACTGTCTATATTATGCAGTTCTTCTACTTTCTTCTCTTGCTTTGTGTGCTACATGGAGTGTGGCGACTTGAACTGCCGCGCCTATGTGCAAAGTTCTATGTCGAAAACCGACCGACCGACCGACCGAGGTTAGGTGTCAGTTGAATGCTAGATAATTGGGGGAGGGGGAATCACTCGATGAGGTTGTGAATTTACACCGATTGAGATGTTTACGATGTGTTACGCGTGCTAGCGTAGCCATCGCATTCCCCGACGGATAATGTTAGCTGACATAGGATGGATCAGCTTGGAAAAGAGCCAGTGGTGGTCAAACCAAAACTTGGCTTCCTCAGTCAATGAAATCTACAACAGATAGTTTGAGCCACGTAGTAAGGTGTAGACTACTGTCTGGTTGGGGTCCTCAGGATGGTGAAAACCAATGACAAGCTGGATACAATTGGTGATATGGCTCAAAATCGTTTTCAGTGTCTGACGCAGATGCATCCACTCTCTGTGATTTATAAAATCCATTGGAATCCTACTGTTCTTCCATAATACTATTCTTTTTGACTCATATTTCTGTTTATTATTATATGTGTTCTGAATCCCTCGACTTTCTTTTCTTGCTCTGTGCTACAAGGAGGAAGTATGGCAAGTCGGTCGGTCGTTCGGTTTTCGACATAGAACTTTGCACATATGTGCGGCAGTTCAAGTCGCCACACTCCATGTAGCACACAAAGCAAGAGAAGAAGGTAGAAGAAATGCATAATATAGACAGTAAACAGAGGTGTGAGACAAAGGAACAGTAATAACGGAGAGCAAAACAGTTTAATTGGAAATCATAAGTCACAAGGAGTGGATGCATCTGTGCCAGCCGTCACCAAGAACGATTTTGAGCCATGTCACCAATTGTTTCCAACCAGTGGTTTTTACCGTCCCGAGGACCCCAACCAGGAAGTCTACACCTTCCTACGTGGCTTAGACTAACTGTTGTGGATTTCATTGACTGGTGCCATGTTTTCGTTTGACCGCTGCTAGGTCTTTTCCAGCCTGACCCTATATCAGCTAACATTACCCGTTGTCGAGGAAGGCGATGACTAGGCATACGTAATACATGTCCTAACCATCTCAGTCGATGTAATTTCACAGTTTCGTCGATTGATTTCCCCGCCTTACCTAGCACTCGACGCCTAACCTCAATATTGCTCACCTTATTATACCACTTCACACAGGAGATAGAACGCAGACACCTATGATCAAAGGCAGCTAGCTAGCCTTTTCATGTCTCCCACTTTCAATGCCAAGGTCTCACAGCCATAAAGGAGGACGGAGCGGACTGTTGAGCAGTACACACGCCTTTTAGTTGACAGCCAGTCGGATATCACGTCTACGCCAGAGACGGCGTAAACTGGCATATGCGAAACTAGCCCTCTGTATTCGTGCTGAGATTTCGTCGGAGATCAACCCGTTGGGGCTGATGGTACTTCCCAAATAAGTGAAGCGGTCAACGTGCTCTACCACTTCACTTCCTATTTCTAATCTAGGGGTCGGTGTAGTCCAATCGTGCAACATTATCTTACATTTTACAGGGGCGAATCGCATGCCAAACATACGAAGATTGTTGCTCAAGGTGTTCAGTAGACTCTGCATTTTGTCAGCGTCCTCGCCTAGAAGGACTATATCGTCCGCATATTCTAAGTCGACGAGATTATTCCCTGATAGCAAGTCAATCCCTGAGTCGCTGAAGTGTGTTAGGGTTAAGTCCATTAGTACGTCTATGATGAAGTTGAATAGGAATGGGGATAATGGGCATCCTTGACGGACGCCACTAGTCGTCACCACTTCAGATGACAACTCGCCGTAAGCCCTCACCTGGCTGCATGAGTACGAGTAGAGTGCCTTAATCAGTGCAATGTATTTTTTCGGCATTCCGTTTACAGCCAAGCATCGCCAGAGAACCTCTCGGTCGACAGAATCGAATGGCGCCTTTAGGTCAAGAAATATAATGATTGTTGGACGCGGGTAAGAATGCCTATGGTCTAGAATCTGTCGAAGGGTGAAGATATGATCAATACACCCTCTACCTGGCCTAAGACCTGCCTGGTTCTCTTGTGTTTGTGCCTCCCGAGCACCACTTAGTCTACGCAGTATTATTGAGCCTAGGACTTAAAATACTATATTAGTCAAACTAATCCCTCTGTGATTATCATTAGCCATTAGCCATTAGTATGGCAAGTAGAACTGCTACACATCTGTGCAAAGTTCTACGTTGAAACCAGTCACTCATTTAAGTATAGCAGTATAAGCTAATATAAAGTTGTTTTTGGTTTATTTTTCCATTCGCTGCGCACTTTGCATACGTTCAAGCTGACACTTATTCATACTCTCTGTCTGTCTGTTTTCAACATAGAACTTTGAACTGATGTGCAGCAGTTCGAGTCACCACACTATCTCTATGTAGCACATAAAGCAAGAGAAGAAAGTAGGAGAAATGCAAAACAGAGACAGTAGACAGGGATATGAGACAAAAGGAATAGTAATAACGAAGAACAATATAGTTTCATTGGAAACTGTAAGTCACAAGGAGTGGATGCATCTGCGCTAGCCATTGAGAACGTTTTTGAGCCATATCACCGATTGTCTCTAGCCATTGGTTTTCACCGTCCCGGGGACACCAACCAGGAAGTTTACACCCTCCTACGTGGCTGGTTTAAACTAACTATTGTTGATTTCATTGACTGATGTAGTCATGTTTTGGTTTCACCACCACGTGCTAGCTCTTTTCGAACCTGATGGATCCTATGTCAGCTAACATTGCCCATCTCATACAGCCTAAATTACTTACTTACTTGACTTCGGCTATCTCCTACGGCAGGATGAGCCGGCTTCATGAACATCTCGAATCATCGCTGCCCAGGCGCGGCGATCTGATGAAGAGAGTTCATGAAGTTTCATGGGAATTTGGTACGAGTGATGTCTCCAGAATCGCTCGGCCGTTTGTTTGAGAGTGCAGCTCTAGCCTTTACACAGCCAAGTGTGACCTACAAGGCAGTAGGAGTGGAGTAGGGAGTCCACTATCCATTGGCAGCTGGTGACCGGAGTTCGGTTCATACGCCTTTTTGAATGGGGCCAGACATCCAGGACATCCAACAAGCCCTTTGTCCATACGTCTGCCAGTGAGCTTCATACGCCAGTCGTTGGAGGTTTGGAATCAGGGTTTAGCCATCTCCCCTAGACTGTCATCCAATGGACAGTCAACCCGGTGAGGAGCGCCGGGCATCCGCCTTCGCCCTCTCACTTTGGTGAAAAACACCTCCGCCACGTGAAGGCAATGAGTAGGACTTCCTCAGGAGAGGCTATGTAGGACGCCCGGTCATATGGGAGCATTTCAAGAGGTGTGCGGAGGGGTGGCCGACCCGCAGCGCAAGGCACCCACCCCCGACCATCCTTATAGAAATTGGACACTACGGATGCAAGTGGTATACTTTCTAAGACCAAAGGTTACATTTTTAATATCTTTGTTGCACACCTTACCTGTTTGTTATCATTGTCTAGCTTTCTTTATTCCTTTATCATACAAACAGCTGATTAAACTTTAACTCTTGTCAATTGTAGATATATATATGGCTTATACAAGTCGAGGTGATGCTAGCGGTACCGTGACAACACCAAATTATGTAGTGGATACAAATCTTGCCAGTAATAAACTACGTGTTACAATTCAAATTCAAGGTTTAAAATCATCAACTGTTTTAGAATTTCAGAAAAAATTAATACCAAAACTTTATAAAAAACCAACTAATGGTGAAATTGTATTCGATTTACACGATAACGGTTTTCTATTTGAATTTCATGGTCAACAGACATTAAAAGATCAAAATTATTCTCTCCATGTTCATCAGTTACCCGGTGTATTAGATCAGAAACGATCACAGTTAATTGTACGTGAAGATGCTGTCGAGATTATTTTAATAAAGATGGATAATACTTCATGGTCACCGTCTGTGATTAATGAAGGTTTAAAGATTGTTGAAAATGTTAAAAAATAAATTTTTATTCAGCCCTAGTATTGGTTGTATAATATGTCATCACCGGTGTTTAGGCAATATATGTACATACGTATATACATATATGTCAAACAAACCTGGTTTTCTTTTTGCCTGGGTTGCTGCTCCTATTCTCTCTCTCTCTCTTTCTCTATCTATCTCTCTCCGTCTTTCCTTTATTCAGTTTATTCTCCTGATACCAAGTTAACCATTGCCTTTTATGTTGACTTTTGACAAGTAAATAATTGATTTCGTTGTTGTTTTTTTTTTTTTGAGCTTTGTATACTCCCAGTGATGATGATGACAATCGCAGTTTATTCCTTACTTATTATTATTATTATTATTACTAATTTTGTAAAGTATATAATATATATATATATGTTTTTGTTAAGACTACTGTTGTAATATTTATTCATTTATTGATTTGATTCAAGTTAATAAGATAAAAATAAACATTTGTTGATAAGTTGATTTTTTTTGTTCTCTTTCCGTTGATTCATTTGATCGAAATGTGTTCGATATCGCTATGTTGATGCTTCAACGATGTCTAAAGTTGATGTACATGGTGTTATTTTGGTAGAAACAATGTGTGCCGTGTTCGACGAGTTCGATCGAAGCAGATGGTGGTCTTAAAGGACCACTTTCCGAACTTTTGAATTGTTTAGTCTGATCCATAACGTAGTAAAGCAGATGTCAGGAGCTATGTTCCCATGGATTTCCATAACCAAAACAGGTTCATACACTACCTTACGATCCAGTCGGATTCTGGAGCCCATGTATACACCGTAGTTTTGGAATTGTCTTTCTGTCTGTCTGTTTTCAACATAGAACTTTGCACTGATGTGCAGCACTTCAAGTCGCGACACTACATGCAGCACACAAAGCAATAGGAGAAATTAGAAATGCAAAATAGAGACAGTAGACAGGGATATGAAACAAAAAGAATAGTAATAACGAAGAACAATATAGTTTCATTGGAAATTATAAGTCACAAGGAGTGGATGCATCTGCGCCAGCAATTGAGGACAACGATTTTGAGCCATATCACCGATTGTCTCCAACCATTGGTTTTTACCGTCGCGAAGACTCCAACCAGACAACAGTGGCTGAAACTAACTGTTTTGGATTTCATTGACTGGTGCCATGTTTTGGTTTGACCCCCGCTAGCTCTTTTCCAACCTGACCCTATGTCAGCTAACATTGCCCGTTGTCGAAGAAGGCGATAACTAGGCATACGTAACACATGTCCTAACCATCTCAGTCGATGTAGCTTCACAGCCTCGTCGATTGATTTAGGTTGGGAATTAGGGCTTTCTAGCTCCCCTAGGTAAACCACCATATCCACCTGTCTGGATTTAAGCGACAGATGTTCACTTTTGCCCTTTCACTTTCTTGAGGATTCCCCGTCCGCCGCATGATGGCAGTGAATATGACTTACCTGGCAGAGGCTATGAATTTGTGGCCACATGTGAGAGCATTTCGAGTGAAAGACCGAAGTCTACGTATCTTTGGTTTTACCGGGTCGTTTATAGTGTGTGTGTGTGTTTCAGTCTCATTGGGAACACTATCACTCACTGAGGATTGTAGGTACTTCCAACAGCTGATGAGTTCCAAATAGGACGGAATGCGGATGCTTTGTATCCCCTACTGTTAGTAATCACTCAGCAAAGAAAAATAAACATTGTTATATTTTTTGTTATTTTGTACGTAATTTTAAGGTGGTCAGAACTGTTTTGTAACTTTGTTAGCCAGAGGTTTTCCTTTAGTAAAAAGAAGAGGTCCTATTGCTGGGAATGAAAATTAGTATTTCACCTGAAGAATTAAGCTTCTTACTGCTTCATTCTATATCAGCCATCTGATTCACTGGTTTGAAACCTTCCCCGTGTGACCAGCAGTGTGAAACTGTTGGTTCTTAGCATTTCTAGGATCCCATCGGAAGCAGTCTACACTTCCTTACGTGTCTGCTTCAATATAGAGATGCGGCTAGTTCGTTGATGGTTCACTGATAGAATGAACGCACGTAGTCCAGAGTTCCATCCCGGCCAAAAACTCCTAATCGTCTCTTATTCGGTAGTAAGTGTGGTAAACAGGAAAAGTTTGTTGTGTGGTTAGCAACCTTATCCCGTAAAAATAAAGCATCATCACTGCTACTGAAAATTCAGAGTTCGAGCTTGAAGTCGTAAAAAAGTAACAAAGATAAATCAGAGTTTATGAAAGAAAATGATTACGTAATCGAGAATTTGTACAACCAATCAATTAAGTTAGCCTCACTTGTTGGATTCCATCACGAATCAACATCAGTTAAAGAGGTTACTGAAAACCAGATAGCACTGGACAACTGTTTCGTCCTAGTTTGGGACACTTTGCCAGTATTCACCCACAACTTCGCCGCTACTATTCGAGCCCGGTACCTTCAAGTTGCGAGAGCATGCTCGTTGACTGTTCAGCTACTTGGGCCGGAATTCATTGTTCCGTGAATATAGCACGCATCGTTTCAAACGCCAAAGTGTGATCGGCTGGACCACGATAACTTTGGTTCACTTAGTCAACACATGGTTCATAATCTGTTGTACTAAAACAAACTTTGAATTAACTAATTGAACTTCCCTTCTACAGTTATGTACCTAGTCTCCGGTGTTTTTCTTATGCTTTTCTACTATAGATCTTCGTATTGTGGCTTCATCCGTAAATGGTAATAGATGCATTGAATATTTTTGTTATTATTATTATTCCCCTTGAGTTCCGAGTAGAACATTTGGGGTTCAGCGGTATATCTCTACTTTGTTCTGTTCTCTTCTCTCCTCTCTAGCTACCCCACGATTGCCAATAAGCTGTCGCACTAGGACGCTCAACTCTTCGTCTTCATTTCGGGTTCCATTCGACTTTATGGCTGACACATGATGTCACCCAATGATCTCAGTGTGTGTCCGATCTATCTCCAGTTTCTTCTGCATATCTGTTGAGCAATAGGTTCTTGATCGGTTTGTCCCCAGAGTTTCTTGCTGCTAATTCTGTCTGGCCTACCATTTGATCTTCAGTACAGAGTGATGGCACTTCTTGGTAAAAGTCTGAAAATTGTTGGAAATTCTTTCATCAACGGGCGCACCAAGTCTTTGCTGAATCGCATAGAGGAAGACGACGCTACTCAAAATAAGTGAATGTGGTAACCTTAGAATTTCCCGCGTGGATAGGGATTGGTGTTTATTGTTAGTGGTAACCGTGTATCTTCACCACCTCTGTCATTTCTATGTTCACTTGAAGTCCTGTCTTCGTTGCATGCCTCCCTTCTCAACGTTTTGGTTTACTCCTGTAGATATTCTAGTTTGTGTGACACTGAACATAGACTTCCCACGAAGTCCAAATCTTCAGCAGTCTTCCTGACTGCCCAAAGTATACCTGTCATCTTGCCCTCACCCACAACCTGCTACATGATCCAGTCTATCGCACTCAGGAATATCATCGATGATAGTCGGCAGCTTTGTCTTACTCCTGTCTTCAATTCAAAGGCATATGTGAATTTTCCATTTTAAATCCCTTGACATGTGGCATCATCATATATCTGTTGAATGGTGTTCATAAAGATTTGGCGGACTGCACTCCATAGTGTTGAAGTAGACAGTCGGAGGTGTCGAAGGCCTTTTCGAATTCTCTGAATATACTACATTGAGTCCAAGTTTCATTACTAAGCTTGTTTCCTTTATTGCTACTTCCACAGGATGGGTAGTGGGGGAAGAAATAACCGCCTACGCACTTCCAACAAGTACACCAAGCTTTCACGTTCATTATTCTCCTTCATCTCTATTACCAGTTTCTTCCCTTCCTCTCAGTATTAAAATCATTCCACAGTTAGAAACACTCATTATCATCTCCGAGATGCATTGAGTCCACTTGTTTTTTTTCAGTTAATTATTCTTTCTCTAAATTGATTTCCGTTTAAAACAGTCCCTCTGATTTTGATTTACTTCTTTTTCTCCAACGTTGTGTACTACAAATTCTGGAACATAGGCGTACTTACCGGCGTCCAACAATCGTTATATTTCTTGATCTAAAGGTGGCATTCGATTCTGTCGACCAAGAAGTACAGATGTACTAATGGACTTAACCCTAACTCACTTCAGCGACTTAGGGATTGACTTGTTAGCAGGGAATAATCTCGTCGACTTAGAATATGCAGATAATATAGTCCTGCCTTCTAGGTGAAGGCGCTGACAAAATTCAGAGTCTTCTCAACATCTTGAGCTGCAATCCACGAATGTTTGGCATGCGATTCGTTCCCGCCAAATGTAAGGTGATGTTACAGGACTGGACTACATTGACTCTAAGCTTAGAAATAGGGAGTGAAGTGGTTAGCGGAGCGTGTTGACTACTTCACTTATTGGTGTAGTTGCATTAACCAGCCCCATTGGGTTGATCGCTGATGAAATCTAAGCACGTTTCGCATATGCCAGTTTACGCCGTCTCTGGCGTAGATGTGATATCTGGCTAGCTGTTGACCAAAGTTCGTGTGTACTGCCCAACAGTCCTCTCCGTCCTCCTTTATGGCTGTGAGACCTGGCCATTGAGAGTAGAGGAAATGAATGTAGAGGCTAGATGCACTTGATCATAGGTGTCTGCATTCTATCTCCCATGTAAGGTGGTATAATAGGGTGAGCAATATTGAGGTGAGACGTCGAGTGCTAGGTAAGGAGGGGAAATCAACCAACGAGGCTGTGAAGCTACATTGACTGAGATGGTTAGGACATATGTCACGTATGTGTAGCCATCGATGGCCTTCCTCGTCGGGCAATGTTAGCTGACATAGGGTTAGGCTGGAAAAGAGTTAGCTAGTGCTGGTCAAGTGAGAACATGGCATCATCAGTCAATGAAATCCACAACAGTTAGTTTAAGCCACGTAGGAAAGTGTAGACTTCCTGACTGGTTGGGGTCCTCAGGACGGTAAAAACGAATGACTGGAGACAATTGGTGATATGGCTCAAAGTCGTTCTCGCTGATGGCTGGCACAGATGCATCCAATCCTTGTGACTTGTAATTTCCAATGAAACTATATTATCCTACTCTCTCTATTTTACATTTCTTCCGCTTTCTTCTCTTGCTTTGTTTGCTGCAAGGAGGGAGTGTGGCTATTTGAACCGCTTCCTTTCTGTGCAAATGACCTACGTTGAAAACTCAATCAGTCAGTAGTTTATTTCTATCCTTAGTGTAACATTGTGAAACTTACAATAAATCAATACTAGACTATTCTAAATGCAACACTACATCTATAAGATACACTCTGTTTCATCAGTACATTAATAAGAGACATGTTTAGTCATGTTTGTCAACTATTTTAGAAGTTGATTAACTCTAAGAATTCCAGTGTAGAATAACAATCGGTATATTACATATTTTCATAGAAAATGGCGCAAAACATTTCTAAAGCGCATATCATTTTAGGTTTGTCTCTTCTGATA